TTATGAGTATGGTTAGTTCATAATATTTGCTGAAACCTGAATGCTAGCTTTTCATGTTTACAACAACAAGAGCAAACGGAGTTTGTAAAAGTTTTTCTTTATCACTTTCAGTTTATCAACTGAATTGCTTGAGGACAAGCAAAGGTTTAAGCTTGGGGGAGTTAATACGTCTCCAACGTATCTACTTTTCCAAACACTTTTGCCCTTGTTTTGGACTCTAACTTGCATGATTTGAATGAAACTAACCCGGACTGACGTTGTTTTCAGCAGAACTGCCATGATGTTGTTTTATGTGTAGAAAAGAAAAGTTCTCGGAATGTCCTGAAAATCCACGGAGGCACTTTTTGGAATTTATAATAATTATTGGGCGAAAGAAATACATCAGGGGGCCCACACCCTGTCCACGAGACAGGGGGCGCGCCCCCTCCTCCTGGGCACGCCCCCTATCTCGTGGGCCCCCTGGACCTCCACCGACCTCAACTCCAACTCCATATATTCACGTTCGGGGAGAAAAAAAATCAGGGAGAAAGTTTCATCGCCTTTTACGACACGGAGCCGCCGCCAAGCCCTAATATCTCTCGGGAGGGCTGATCTGGAGTCCGTTCGGGGCTCCGGAGAGGGGGATTCCTCGCCGTCGTCATCATCAACCATCCTCCATCACCAATTTCATGATGCTCACCGCCGTGCGTGAGTAATTCCATCGTAGGCTTGCTGGACAGTGATGGGTTGGATGAGATTTACCATGTAATCAAGTTAGTTTTGTTAGGGTTTGATCCCTAGTATCCACTATGTTCTGAGATTGATGTTGCTATGACTTTGCTATGCTTAATGCTTGTCACTAGGGCCCGAGTGCCATGATTTCAGATCTGAACCTATTATGTTTTCGTGAATATATGTGTGTTCTTGATCCTATCTTGCAAGTCTATAGTCACCTATTATGTGTTATGATCTGACAACCCCGAAGTGACAATAATCGGGATACTTCTCGGTGATGACCGTAGTTTGAGGAGTTCATGTATTCACTACGTGCTAATGCTTTGTTCCGGTTCTCTATTAAAAGGAGGCCTTAATATCCCTTAGTTTCCACTAGGACCCCGCTGCCACGGGAGGGTAGGACAAAAGATGTCATGCAAGTTCTTTTCCATAAGCACGTATGACTATTTACGGAATACATGCCTACATTACATTGATGAACTGGAGCTAGTTCTGTGTCACCCTATGTTATAGTTATTACATGAGGAATCGCATCCGACATAATTATCCATCACTGGTCCATTGCCTACGAGCTTTTCACATACTGTTCTTCGCTTATTTACTTTTCCGTTACTACCGTTACAACTACTACAAAAACCCAAAAACTATTATCTTTACTTTAGCCACGGTTACCTTTATTATCATACTATTTTGCTACTAAATACTTTGCTGCAGATACTAAGTTATCCAGGTGTGGTTGAACTGACAACTCAACTGCTAATACTCAAGAATATTCTTTGGCTCCTCTTGTGTCGAATCAATAAATTTGGGTTGAATACTTTACCCTCGAAAGTTGTTGCGATCCCCTACACTTGTGGGTTATCATGCGGCTGTCCGTGTACTCGTCGGTTATGGGAAGCAGACACACCCTCATGTCTAAGATCCGCCTGTACTTGTCGTAGCATGTGTATGCGTCCTTGGCCGCGTAGGTTATGTAGGCTAGATTCAGAGGTACCTCCCACGTGTTCAGGTCCTTGATATCATTGTCTTCTTTCATGTTGGCGTAGAAGGGGTCGATGATGGTCTCGGTGAGATCAACCATGGAGTCCTTCTCCTGCCCATTGCCGATGATCTTGTATTGCTTCTGGATGTCAACAAGCTTGTTGCACAAGATAGCCGAATCGTCGCGTTCTTCCTTCTCTCCAGCATAGCGAAGGTGCAGTCGGTGCTGCCGATGAAACGGGCGAATGCTCCAGGACCTCTGATGGACCTACAATAGTGGTAGACGAGAACCTCGTCCCGCACGCATACCTGGGCGACGGCGATCCGCTGGTCCCTGCCAGGAGACGAATGGATAGGCACAAGGTCTAGTCCTGCGACCTTGTGGTTTCTTGTCCTGTAGGTACTGCTTGAACTCGTCGAGGCAGAGCTTCACCAAGTCCGTTGGTGTACATCACATTCAACTTGGTGCAGCCATGGGGCTGAACGGAGAACTCAAAGGTGAACTCCTTGCTGAAGTCCATATCCAGCAGGCTCACCCCTCAGATCACCATTGGAGTCTCTTCAAGTGAACTAAAAGGTGAACTCCTTGCTGAAGTCCATATCCAGCAGTTCGTTTTTCAGCTCTTGGAAAACTGGATTCAATAGTAAACTGAGTGTGTACATGCGACAACAGTTACTACCCCTCCCCCGCCCGCTGCACGCCTGGCAGAACATGCACCCTTGGCGCATTCAAACGCCTCCATTAAGAAACCTATTCTGGCCACACGTCGGTTCATGAGCGGGTCTGTATTAGTACTGTAATAACAAGTGTTAGTGGTCACTTTACTTAAATTTAATTACCTTTAATTAAAATTTATTCTTAAAACAAGCAATACATTGGCTCGTTCTATCAGTGCCACGGGATCAACATGCAGAACAATTAGAATTATTATTCTCAGGACGCACACGGTCAACACATTTGCCGCACTTTCACATAGACAATACTACCAGGTTTGAACAGTTTGTTATGGTTGTTGTCTTCTGCATCATCATGTCGTGTTTTCCAGCTTGCATGATTCAGAACCAACAAATAAGATTCAAATAATAAGTACAACAAAGATGCCTACACATCTCATTGATTCCCAGCTTGCAAGATTGAGAAGCAACAAATAAGATTCAAATAATAAGTACAACAAAGATCTCATACACAGACATCAACCGAGGAGAGTAGACACGAGGAGGACGTGCATTGGCATGGCCTGGAGGAGGCCCTCGCGCTGTCCGCAGCCGGCGACAGCGTCATCCTGCCACCGACGGTGTTCCTCCCCGAGTCCAAGACCGAGCCGCCGTCCAAGGAGCTCGAGCCGGAGCTCTACCAGTGGACAGGCCAGCTCCGTGAGTGGGTCAGCGCGCCGCCCATGTGGCTCGGGGTGACGCCGGAGTAGGAGGCCACGTACCTCCAACAATGGAGGGCGTGCGCGCTGGCGGACGAGCGCGGCGATGGCGAGCAACAGATGGAGCTGGAGTGTCGCTTGGCACAGGAGGCGGAGGAGGAACCCCTAGAGTGGGAGGAGGAGGAGCATGCCCGCGCAGCTGCAGTGCAGCCGCCGACGAGGCAAACGGCGGAGGAGGCGGCGCGTGCGGAGTAGGAGACCGCTTTCCCTTGGGCTGGGCCGGCGTTCATCGATCTTACCGGCTCCGGGGAGGAGGAGGACGATGATGATGCATAGGGTAGTGCGCTGACCACACAAGCATTTTTTTTAGTTTTTTAAGTTTTATTAATGTCTAAGTGGACTGCGGCCGATGGTTGACCGGTCATTTAATGTTGTCTAAGTGGACTGAGACCGATGGTTGACCGGTCATTTAATGTTTAAATATGTTCATTTGGGCCGTGTGGTTTTTTTATGCAAAGAAAAATGGGTCTTCCACTGTTCGGCACACCGGCCGATCCAAACCAAAAAGTGAACGCGTCGTCAACTTGGCCGATCCAAACGGACAAAACGCGAGGCCGCCTGTGTTGGAGTTGCTCTTACACCCAAACAGAATAGATCGGCACCTTGAAGTTGGCTTTGTGTTTGAAGCTTGTGGAGGCGGGAGACGACGTCACGGGTTTGTGAAACCAGGGGAAGGGAGAGCATTTTTGGGGGTGGGATATGAAAAGAAGCGCGCACGCTTTTGTGTTCCTTGAGACCCGCAATCTGTCCCAAAAGATGAAAAGCGAGAGGAGGCCTTTGGTTTTTCAGGAGGGGAAAAAAGGCTCCTTGGCTTTTGGTTTAGCAAGCCATTTTACTTGGTTTTCAGGAGTAGCATTACGGTAGTATACAAAACACAATTTACTGAGAACCAAAGAGGAGGAAGGCTACTAGTACAAAACTTGACTCTCTCCATGCATCCGGAATGTGTTTGGGGGTAAAAAGTTGCCACCGACCCCCACCGGCATATGTTCGCGTCGCCCAGTTTCGTCGTCAATGAATGCTGCTGCACTGGCAAAGCGACGCCTGACACACCGGCCGGCCAGCACCAGCTCGCGTGCGATGCGTGAATGCCAAAGTCAGGGAATCCGAGTACGCTCCGCCTTTTCTCGCTGGGCCCCACACCAGTAGGCCTCAGCGTTACATGGGCATTTCACACAACTGGGCCACAAATAGACCTTGTGCCACAAGGCCTGGACTCCAGTGCCAGGTTACCACAGACATCAGTGAGCGTCAAATAGGTTTTTCCGACATCAGTGCCCCCAGCACTTTTCTTTCTTTCTCTCAAAGCCCAGACTGCGGTGCAAACCTTCCGGCTTTTCTGCAATCGTCACCGAACCTCGGCCCAAGATTGAAAGAGTCTGCCCGAAAGTCTGACAATGAGTTGGGACCCCTGCCTCGACAATACTTTTTTTTTCTGAACAAAGAAGTTCTAAGCTACTCCAGAAATAGTACATTCATGAAAACTTGTTGCTAATACCAAAGAAGTTTTTTTCTTTTTAAGAACTTGCTCCAGAAGTTGATGCACACAGAAGATGGAACACTTTTCCACCCAAGCACCCGAAAATGCAGGTCAATATCTATATATATCTATGATAAGGAAACATCCATGGTGTCCGATGGATTAACTGGCTGCCCATCAAAATCAAAAGCTTGCTAATGCTAATTACACCGCCTAAAGCAAAAGGCAAAAGGGTAATTCGACTTTGATCTGAGCCAAGCAAGCCACCTCATAATATTTCTACCAGCAGACAAGAGACAACAACACCATCTATATATGCACTCTAAGAGCACCCTTCTTTTCAAGCCCTACACCGCAGCTCAGCCACACAGATCAGTGCTACTGGCTGACCATCAGTGCGCTGTCTCGCTGTCGAGGCACGCAATACACTGGGCGGGCTCAGCGAGGCCGTAGACGTCCTCGATGCAGCTGCTGTGGAATGTATGGTGGCATCTAAGGACAGCGATGACAGGGGGAGCAGAGGCATCGTGGGCGGCGCCCCCATGGGCCTCAAAAGCGAGGTCGAGCTTGCAGAGCGCGCACCTTGTCCCCAGCGGCTCTGTCTCTGGCGCTTCATCATCCTCAAACAGAGCTGAAATTGCAATGAGGCAAGTACGGTCAGGTCACCAAAACTATGCCTGCCTCGAAATGAGAATACAAAAGAACAGTTCTAATTTAGGTGTGAATTCACCGAATTATGTTGCCTGTAGCTATTTTAGTTCCAAAAGTAGTAGAACTTTACCAGGACCCTTGATGTGAAGCTGCGTTTGTGAATTCACCAACTTATATTGCTGCAGAAGCTGCTCTTGCTGCTTGATTAACAGTGCCTTCCTGTAAGCAGCACTCGACACAGCATGGGAAGACTCATTCGCATTCCCGATTTCTAGCTTTGGTACGACCATTGGGCCAGTAGCACCAGCCCGCACGCTGGCCTGGCTTGTGTGCAGGGGTATCTTGGTGATCTTCTGTTGATTGTTATTTTGAAAGTGTTGCCTGGGCAATGTAACGACGGGAGCAGCCAACTGGTTGACCTGGTGTGTTCTGTTGCCAACAGCTTCTGTAATGACTGGGGCAACCGGCTGACTGATCTGCCTTCTATTGCCAAGAGCTTCTGTAATGACTGGAGTAACCAACTGATCAGCTTGCCTTTTTCCTCTGACAACAGCATCCGTAGTTGCTGGAGCAACCAACTGATTGACTTGACTTGTTCCACTGGAAATAGCTTCTGTAATGGCTGCAGCAACTGACTGATTGACTTGGCTGCCAACAGCTTCTGTAATGGCATTCGACTTCTTTGCAATCTCAAGTTGCAGCTGCTGTGCAGGCAATGGATCAACACTGGCAGGATCATTTCCAAGTTCAGTTCTTGGATTCCCCATAATCAGCGGAGCAGCTAATTTAGCACCCTTGCTTCTGATGGTGCTTTTCCTTTTTGAAACTACATCAGAAGGTCCCTTGCCGCTCTGTAGCTTCTTTGGTGGAGATGGGATGACAGCACCATCCGATTGATCACCCTCACTAGCACATTCTTCGTTTCTGTTCTTTTTACCTGGATATTAATAAAGCCAATCAAAACTAGGAATACAATATGAATGTCCTAAAAAAATGAATGATTAAAACGAGTACACAAAGCCTCTAATACATACCACTGCGAACATTTCGATTAACTTTAGAAGCTGAATCTTTAGCAGCATGTGCGGAAGTAACTCTGGAGCGCTTGGCAGTAGGGTTGGTTGCAGGAGTACTTGCTCGCTTATGGTCTTCACTCAGAACAGCAGGCTGAGTAAGAGGTTTCCAAGCAGATTTAGTCACTTCCTGAGGGGTTCGAGCACGGGTTACAGTGGGCCGTGCTGCAGCTAACTGAATGCTAAAGCGAGCATCTGGAGTACTTCTATTGCTGCTTGTGCTATCGACTCTTTTCTTCGCATCAGGTGTAGCAGCAACCGCAGGAGGTATACAGGTCATCGACCGAGTAACAGGGCGAAACACCTTCTGATAGGCAGGTGTGCTGCATGATGGCTCAGAGTGGCCGGCATCGCTGCTCGCTGGAATGGAAATCAAAGCAAGAGGTTACAAATATTACCATTGAAGAGCATGTCCTGGGGACGTGTACTCATAGGTGAGTACTAACTTGATGAAGTGAAAAGGCAATGATTTGATAAAACTATGGAAGTCTTCCTTGGAAACAAAACCACACAAATTTTATGCGACTTGCAACTTAGTAAAATGGAAAACAGCTTTTAACAATACATTGGTTTTCCAGAGACAAAGGCTGGCATTTGTACATATCGACTTGGCTTCCAATAAATAATACAGTATGGCACAGATGGATTATGTAAGATGGTGAAGAATTACACGCATAATAAATAGATTAACTCATAATCTGTTAAGGCAAATTGATGGGTAAGATAAATTAAGTTAATTTGACAAAATGAATTGCAGGCCGGTCAGAGGCTATGGCAGAGATATAACATCAGTGTAAACAACAGCATTGTACCTATTTAATCCGAGCAAACTAATTCATAATGGGAAACAACTAATTCTCAGCATTCTGATATCTTTTTCAAGATCCCAGTATGAACAAAGATGGGAATCTTAACGTTCGTCCATCGTTCCCGCGCACCTACGACCCTGGGCCTGGTCACGCACGGCATGCAAGGTATAACAAGAAAACGACGTGGATGACGGATTCACGCGGAAGTGCCGTAGTACTGTCCAATAATTATGACTTTTGCACACTAGTAAATAAAGGACTCTGCCAGCATAAACCTAAACAACACAAACCCCCCTGAAGAAAAATGGCCAGCTAAATTACAACCTATTAAGAAAACTACAACAGATTTTTCATGGAGGAAATCAGATCCCACTGAACATGCCTGAACCTAGCAATGAGAATTCTTGCACAAAGTAAATCATCAAGTGAATAAAAATCAATTCCAAAGTTCCCTAATTCCATGGTAAACCAACCCAAGAAACATCTGAACCATTTCCAAAGGGCCAAATTTCAATTCTGATGCTCCCCTGTAACACCACCGCCCCCCAATTCAAGAAGCACCTAATAGCCTACCTATCGCCGTACATCAGCAGGGTGGCAAGCCTCCCGAAGCAAAAATCAGGGCCCTATTCCGTACTACCCAACGGCATCCCTCCATTCCAAGCACCAGAGCAACCCAATCGGGGCGACACCGGCGTCCGATCGCGGCTCCGCCCCCAAAACAAATCCGCACGCCCCCATCAGCCGCGCGCACGCAAGCGCATCTAAATCGGAATCCCCCGGCCAAAGAACCGGCAAGCCAGCGCAATCAGCCAGACGCATTGCGTCGGAGCCGCCGCCCCGCGCCCCCCGAAGCCCGCCGGAAAGGACCGGCGCGCCGTCGCGCCGATAATAAACCCCCATCAGCCCGAAAAAGCCCGGATTGGCCCCGTTCTTACCGCTGGTGGCGGCGGCCGCCGGGCGGGCCGCGGAGCCGGACGCGCGCGGCATTGGATTGGGCGAATCGGCGGCGAGATCGCAGGAAATCCGAGGAGAAAGCCCTAAATTCGCCTGCTTGGTTTCCTCTCCCCTTTCCTGATTTTTTTCCGGGAGGGGGGCAGAGAGGAAGGGGGAGGGGAGAGGGGGGGCTTAGGAAGTGGCTGCTTATATAGGCTTCGGATGTGAGGCGTAC